AATAGATTGAGCTTCTTTAGGCTCTCACTGTTAGGTATTTGCTCTTGAAGCCACTGCATCACATTGGAAGTTCATGTTGCATTGGTTATCCACCAGGACTCCTAAGCCCCTTTGTAAAATACAGTCCCCATCCTGTAAGAGTGCTATATGTTCGTTGTTTCCAGAAGTATGACCTTGCATTTGACTGTATTAAAAAGTACATTGTTGAAGTACAACTTACCAAGTGATCTAGATCAGTGTTTCTCAACCTTTTTGATATTAGGAATCAGCTTGCTGTCTTCCTAAACCAGTGGTCTCTAATCTTTTTCTGCACAAGATCATTTTTAGAATTTAAGTGCAACCCAGGATCTACCCTGCCCCGTCCCTGCTCACCCCATTTTCTCTCTGTCGCGCGCTCTCCCCCACCCTCACTTACTTGCACCAGGCTGGGGCAGGGGTTGGTGTTGAGGAGGGGGTGAGGGCTCAGGGTTGGAGCCGAGGGGTTTGGAGGGTAAGAGGGGGCTTGGGGCTGAGTGTGGGGTAGGGGGGTTGGGTGCAGGAGCTGATGAGGGGTGCAAGCTCTGGGTGGGAGTTTGGGTGCAGGCGGGGGGCTCCGGGCTAGGGCAGAGTGTCGGGGTGCAGGAGGGGGTGTGGACTCTGGGAGGGAGTTTTAGTGCAGGAGCGGGCTCCAGGCTGGGGCAGAGTATTGGGGTGCAGGAGGGGGTATGGGGTGCTGGCTCTGGGAGGGAGTTTGGGTGCAGGTGGGGGCTCTGGGCTGGGGCAGAGTATTGGGGTGCAGGAGGGAATGTGGGCTCTGGGAGGGAGTTGGGGTGCAGGAGGAGGCTCTGGGCTGGGGCAGAGTGTTGGGGTGCAGGAGGGGGTATGGAGTGCTGGCTCTGGGAGGGAGTTTGGGTGCAGGTGGGGGCTCTGGGCTGGGGCAGAGTATTGGGGTGCAGGAGGGAATGTGGGCTCTGGAAGGGAGTTGGGGTGCAGGAGGAGGCTCTGGGCTGGGGCAGAGTGTTGGGGTGCAGGAGGGGGTATGGAGTGCTGGCTCTGGGAGGGAGTTTGGGTGCAGGTGGGGGCTCTGGGCTGGGGCGGAGGATTGGGGTGCAGGAGGGAATGTGGGCTCTGGAAGGGAGTTGGGGTGCAGGAGGAGGCTCTGGGCTGGGGCAGAGTGTTGGGGTGCAGGAGGGGGTATGGAGTGCTGGCTCTGGGA